GCGGCGGCGGCGGCGCGGGGCGCCCGCACGGCGGCGGCGAGCCCGAGCGGCGGCGGCGGCCCGGCGCTGGGCATGGGGCGGCGGCGGCGGGGGGCGCTGCCGGAGCCAGCGGGCGGCTGCTCCTGCTGCCTGGCGGCGGCGCTGCCGCTGCTGCTGCTGCTGCTGCCCGCCGGGTGTCCGGTGCGGGCGCAGAACGACACGGAGCCCATCGTCCTGGAGGGAAAGTGCCTGGTGGTCTGCGACTCCAGCCCCTCGGCCGACGGCGCCATCACCTCCTCTCTGGGGATCTCGGTGCGCTCGGGCAGCGCCAAGGTGGCCTTCTCGGCCACCCGCAGCACCAACCACGAGCCGTCCGAGATGAGCAACCGCACCATGACCATCTACTTCGACCAGGTTAGCCGCCGCCTGCTTCGCATTCGCTACCCCCATCCCCGTCCCTGCCTCCCCCTTACTGCACGCGTGTTCTCGTAGGGGCTTCCCTTCCGTCTTTTAATCCCGACTCACCCGCTCAATAGCAACGTTACGGCTCAGCTCCCCTGAAAGAGTGTGGGAAGTTCTTTTAGGTGTCTGCGGGGTTTTCCTAGAGTGGTACCGGTGGGGAACACGCTAGCTTCTTGTCCTGTCCCATTGCTAGTAAGGAGAGGGGTTTAACGTGAGAGTCTCTGCCTCGGACGCGTACAGGGGTGCCTTGCAGCCGAGGATTGCCTCGCCCAGCCAGGAACGACCCGGGGGAAGGTGCGCATCCTTCCTTTCGTGCTCCGTCGGGAATGCTCATTTTTAGGGCAAATTCGGAGGTTTACCGATGAGGAGTCGTCGGATCTGCCTGTACCGAGCGCATTTGGCAGTGTTACAGCATCTCTTAAGGGGAGAGAGGGAGGAGGAAGAAGAGGGTGTTTCCCGCGTTATCAAACGAGGCGAGCGATGTCCCCGGTGGGCTATAACGGAATGGTGTTATCCTGCACAGCATACGCCGGACAGAGAAGAGAACAGGCTGGCCTCGTCCTGCCCCTCCCTGACCCTTCCTCGGCCCCTGCCTCTGCCCCGTCGCACTGCTTGCCTCCCAGAGGCTATGCCCCGTCCATCCACTTCATTTTTGCGATGAAATTTACTTTTTTCCTACCGCTTTTGACTCCTGAAGTAGTATTGCAGAGTCAGCCAAAATAAGCA